TTGATTTGATTTGATTTGACAAATATTTGATTCAATTTGATTTGATTCGATCAAATTCAAATTAATTCAAATTGATTTGATCAAATATTTGAGTTCAATTCGATTCGATTCAATTCAATTTGAAAAAATCAAATCAAATTCAAATTGCTTAAATATTTGATCCAATTTGATTTTGAGAAACCCTAATAATTACCATGCCAAGTATAATTATGAAATACAAATTACATAATTTTATGATAGGTTTGTAAGTTTTTGTAATTTTACAGAATATAAATTTATATAATATTATGTCTTATTAAATTTATTAATGTAATAAATAAATGAATATAAAGCTAATGCAAAAATACATTGATTATTTTAATAATAATTGATCTATAGTACTAATAATATTTATTTTTAATTCCTTTTGAGGCTATTTAAAAGAATCTATTAAAGAAATTCTATAATAATAATATTAATTTAACAGATATTTTAGGTAGCTTAATGAATATATGCTAATCACTTGATATTGCTATTAATGAACCATTTAAGAATAACTTTCATAAAGAATGGTATTTATAGAGCTGATAATGCTAAAAAGGCTTCTATATAAATCTTAAACACTTTAAATATCGTGATATTTGTAATTAGTTAAAATGTTTTTAGACAGGTATATATGATGAAATAATTATTAATTCTTTCGTATATTATTCTATAATAGATTCTTAAATAATTTAGATTACAAATATGAAAATTTAAACATTTTCGATATTAATAATAAAAATATTAGTAATAATCATAATAGTGATTAATTAAGCAGGTTTTTATAATAACTTTATAATAGTTAATAGTAATTTTCAATTTATTAATTTAACTTATATTCATTTTACCTTTATTTTAAATAAATTTTATATTATAATAATAGGATAAATAATATTTTTTTTTGATTTTTACAAGTTTATTTAATGAATGCTTATTTTTAGATAATATTAAAAAATGGGAATGCTTATTTACGTAGATTCCTATTTTTGGGATTATACAGTAATTAAACTTTTTAATTATTAATTTTACCAAATTTTATTATTTGGAAATCAGAATTATTGGAATGCAAAGTTAAATACTTATCATATTCTTCAATTATATTAGATTTATAGTATTTGGTAGTATAACTAAAATTTCAGTTCTTTTATGCTTTACCTATATAGATGTATTATTTATGTTATTCTTAAAAGATTAGTAAAAAGCAAATAATATTCGTCTACTCAAAGCTTTAACAAGAATGTATTATAAAAAAAAGTATTATATAAATAAGTTATTCGAGAACTACTGTAGATCTATTCATTTATATATAAATTAGAGAAATTTGTTTTAATTCTAATTCATCAAATGCATTTTCTCCTTTTATAATACTTTTACCGATATCTATCGAATATTTAACTTTTCCATTAAAATATTCTTGACTGTCAAAAATCTAAAATTGAAATACAAATAAATGTTTCTATTTTTGAAATTTTTTTGTAAAAAATGATTTATTGCATTTAAGGCAGCTTTGATGGAACTGACAGAATATCACTGCAATTATTTTTTGACATAAAAGCAATATAAGCCGCTTAGTTGATCATTTAATGTATGAATATCTTCAATATTTTAAATTTTTCCTTCATAAGTCTTTTTTTAAAAATTCTCTAGTAAACCAATCCAGAGATTAGTAACAGCATTTGTTGTGTTTTTTACTTGACTGAAATTTTGAAAGTATTCAACTTTTTTTTCGTAATAATAGTGTTAGATGTTGTCAATATAAAGGTATTATAATTATGCAAGAACTAAAGAAATAAATATCATCACCCTGATATTTTACTTCAATAATTACCATTTGGTCATTTAATTTGAGATTCGAAAAATTATTAAAAATACATTTTATTCAAAAATTTATGATAGGTCTAGTATACATTTAAGAAAACTTTTACTAGGTAATAACTTAACGTAGCTACGTCTATGCTACAATTTGCTGTAAAGAAATAATAAATAAATTTAAATAATAGAAAGCGGTTTTCTAAATTACCAAAGGCAAACCCTTATCTTTATAATAATCAATAGCTTGTTTATGCTGTTTATAAGCAGCTAATCTCATGTATTTTTCACCCAACACTTCATTCTTTAAACCGGAATTATCAGAAAAATATAAAGTTGCAGCATTATACATACCAACAACTTGGCCATTATCGGCGGCTTTTGTAAAATATTCGGTAGCTTGTATTAAATCCTTCTTAACTCCTATACCTTTAAATAAACAATTACCGTAACGTAATTGAGCTTCAGAATCACCTGAATCCGCTACTTCTTTATATAAATCTGCCACTAATTTGTCTTTTGTTGTTTGATCCATATCAAATTTAACCAAATTTTGTTGAATATAATACGCTTTGAAGTATTTTGCTTTCATATCATTTAATTCTGCATTTGCTTCAAAACATTTATAAGCTAACTCGCGATTTCCATTCGTAAGTTTATGTTGTTTCGCTGCTTCATCTACTGACATATAGTTAAACTCTGCGAAATTTATATCCTTTGCAAGAGTTTCACTTTTTGGCATGAGTTTAGGACTAGGTAATGGAGTAAATCTACCATCTTTCTTATATAGATCTTGTAGTATGGTAAATATTTTTGAAAATTGAGGTCTAAAATTATGATCGTGATGAACGGCTAAGAGAGATTTATAAAAGTTAATTTATCGAATTTGAATTTATATATTGATTTGTTTATAAATATATATATATAAGAATACCTTTTTTTTCAAGTTCTTGATATCCTATTGGCAAAGAAGAACCAAGTGAAAATGGTTCACGATATTGTTCGTTGCAAACACGCTCAGTAATAGCGATGATATCATTATATCTCTCATAAGGAATTTTTTCTTCGGCAATCTCCCAAAGTAGTATACCAAAACTATAAACTTCACACTTAGTATCGTATTTTGACCTTCTTTCTAATTTTTCTGGGGCGCAATAACGTACAGCTTCTAGAGTTGCAGCTTGGTTTGTCGTACTATCTGTAATTGCTCGGCTTGCTTTAAAATTTGCAATTTTTGCCGTCTCATGATCGGTAATTAAGATATTCTCGGCTCTAATATCACGATGAACAATCTATACAGACGAGTTATTCCCCAAAAAGCAACAAATGATTATCTTAAGAATTAGGAATTTTTTTGAGGTGGAAATTATTATTTTATTTTTTTTAAAAAAAAAAATTACCTTAACAGCGCTCAAGAAATTTAAGCCTTTGGCAATATCAAGAGCAAATCTTAATTTCAGCTTAACATCAAGTGGATTATTTTGATAATATTCACGTAAATTGCCATACTCGGCCCATCCAGTCACCAAATAGAATTTATCATCATACGCTGTATAACCAAAGTATTGAATAATACAATCACATTGATCCAATTTTTTTAAAATTGTTACTTGCTTTCTAAAGTTATCTTTATCTTCTTCATTGTTATTTTTAACAGTAACCAACTTTAATGCAACAAAGTCATTCAATCCATACTTTCTTCTCCTAAATTTTTTAACATTTTTTAAATGTTTTTGATAACCCTCAGGTTCTTGTTCTTCAAAATCATTATATTCTAGTAATTCACTCTTGAATATATCGGTATTTGTTGATTTAGATTCCGTCAATGATTTATTAAGTGCACTCAACTGCACGACCATACCCGAGATCATATGATTGTTGTCAGTTACACCACTGCCGATATCATCAAGATACTATATCATATGATTAGAGAAATAAAACTACAATTAATGTTAATTATAAAAAAACATTTGATTATATATCACACATTACCTGGAGAAGCTCTTTGATATCGGACTTAATAATTGCGTTATCTTTGTCAGCATTGATACTAAAATCGATTGACAGAGAAAAGTGTAATGCTTGTATAGTGGAATCAAACTCACTACTTAATTCTTTTACATCGCTCTCAATACTTTTAGCTTGAATATACTTGGATAAGCCTGTTAACTGAGAAATTTCTTCAACAAGCTTACGTATTCTACCAACGACATGAACCAATTTTTGTAGATGAACAAAATTAAATTTTGAAAAAAAATCTACATTTTCATCTCTACGATTTTTCAAATTCCTTACGGCAGTGTCAGCTATTTGAACTCTATCCAACAATATCCCACATATTTTTTTATTATGTTCAGCTGTTTGATATATTTTTATTATTTCATTAAATACTTGGGTTACCTCCGTTATAAGCGGTAAAAAATTTGAAAAAGGTACTAATACGGAGCTTGCAGTATCTAATGCGCTGGCCATATAAGTTTTCTTATTATATGTTTTTTCTAAATTAAATCATTTTTATAATAAAAGATTAATATTTATAATAACGTGGCATCTGAACCAATATATAAAAAATCAATGTTCTTTATTTACCGTAAGTAATCTCAGCAATTGGATCAAGATCATGATCAGGATCTGGAGGTTAACAACAAAAAAAATTTTGGAAATTTTTATTAAAGAATTATAGTTAGATGTGCAAATGTATCGTATAAATTATCCTTACCAACTGGTGTAATAGGAGTATTGTTTATGTTTAAACTTGGCCCTAATTTAATTTTTTTTTTTTAATAAAAAATTTTGAAATATGATTTTATTCATGGATGGAATAGTACAAGTTATTTTCTTACCATTTAGCGTTAAAGAATTCGAACCTGATATTAATATAATTAATTAATTAGTTATTTATTTTTATTATATTTAATTTTTTTTAAAAAAAAAAATTTTGAAATTATTTAAGGGCAGAGATATAATTTATCTTACCATTAGATGTATACGCTTGCGCTGCTTTATTGTTATAACAAAAGTTTGAAATTAAAATTATAAGTTATTTTGGTGGGTAATGTACAAATTTATCTTCTTACCATTTAAATTAGAAGTATTCGAATCTGATGTTAATTTGTTTATTATTATTTATTTTTTTCAGTAAAATAATATAAGATTTAATTATGGGAAAAGATAATGCATCTTACCAATTATTGGAGTGGCAGTAGGTTTGTTCGCTAATTTATTTATTTATTTATTATTATTATTATTTAAGAAATAATTAAAAAAATTCAAAATTGATATTTATTGTGCAAAATTATCTTTACCATTAGGTGAAGTATTGTCAGTTTCCGAATCTGGATTGCCGCAGCAGATAAATTTTTTAAGAAGAGACATTTTCTAAACTGGGGGAGGGGGGAATAAAAGATTTATAAAAGAAAAGTAGATTTTATTTATTATTTTTATTTTAAAGAGTTTTTATTGTCTTTTCTTTTTTAGGAACTCATTCATTGTACGACACAAAAAATGTATGTCGACCATCAATTAGAAGACCATTTTGTCTTCGTTAAATAAAAGTACTTTGTCATCCACATAAATTTTATTTTATTTGGTGGACGATATTAATTTTTTAAAATTATGCATAAATAATCATTGTACCTCGTTACGTAAATCTGTAAAACACAACACAAAATTTTCAACCAATGTCGCATCCTATCATGCACCCAATTAAAACTTTTTAACGATAGGTCTTATTTGTTCCGAAATCAAAATTAATGCGCATTCTCGAAACGCAAAATATCAAAAGTTTTTTTCTTTTATGTATAAATTTAGAAGTTGAGTTTTATTGTCAATTCTAATTATAGTTAATATATTAGATTTCATAAAAAAAACTAAAAAATTTGGATTTCAGGATAGGATCACCGCAAATAATAGTTTTTTTGTGATTGTATTATTCAAAGATAAACTAATTAGAAATTTGGCCAGAATTGACAAATGTAAAAAATAAAAAATAAATAAAAATTCCAGCAAAGAAATATAATTTCGGTCAAAAATTGTTTATGTCCCATGAAAAAACCTCCACACCATGTGAAATAAGAAAATATTTTTAAACTTTTAAATTAAGGCCTTATTCAATTTAGTTAGTAAGGCCAAGACGCAGTAATTTATTTTTAATTTTTTACTTATCAGGAAATTTTCCGGTCTTGTGATTTGCACCGTTACGATTATTAGGACTTAATTTAGATATTGACGTTTCAACAATGGCAAAATTTTATGATCAAGAAATCTCTATTTAGAAATTAGCGAGATAAGTAATAAATAATGTAAAAATCAGTGATAAAACTGGCTCTTTGTTTTCGCAACTGATAATTAACAATGGCAAAATTTATGATCTAGAAATCTCTATTTAGATATTAGCAGGAGATAAGTAATAAATGATGTAAAAATCAGTTATACAAAACTTGTTCTTTGTTTTTGCAACTAAAAAATGAGCAAACCAAAAAATTATATTTTTAATAATACTTTTCCCGATGATTTTGATTCTTATAAATTCGAAAATGTAAATGGTATAATTACCAAATCTTCCTCATTAGAACTGACTGATTAGTTAAACCGAAACACAACGTTGGTCAGATTTCGAAATCAAATCATTATTATCATACCTTTTAGAAAATTTTAACTTATACCGCACACAAAAAATCAAAATTTTATGCTAAAGTTGCAATTAATATTGGAAATAAAAAAAACAGGTATACAAGTAAGATCTAAAATTCAATCGTTGATTACGAAATTTGAGGAAGAAAATCGTGAAGAAACGGGAAAAGGCAGATCAGATCCTGTTGGACATATTTTAATGAAATGAATGAGATTTTTGGAAACAGAGAAAATGTCTGATTATTTATTATCTAGGTATAAATTAATTATGATATTTCTTGCGATAACAATGATCTGATATTGAAAGTGAGGTCGAAAGTAATCTATCTACAAACGGAAGGTTATCGCCTTTATTTAGATGATTTAGGAGCAATTAACCAATCCATAAAAATGGCAATCGAAATTGAACAAGAAAGGTTGAATTTCGAAAAGCAAAAACTTGAAATTGAAAAGAAGTTAGAAAGAGAAGTCATGTTAAAAATAGAACAAGAAAAATTAAAATGGGAGAAATAAAAGTTTGAAAAGGAACAAGAATCTCAAATTAAAGAATGAACAAGGAATTTGAGTTAAAAATCAAAGGGTATGAATTTAATTATATTTAATAAACCAATAATCAAATTATATTTAAAATATTTTCGCGTTAAAAATTTATAATGAATATCACTTCGTATCTATCTTTAATATTTGATAATCAAAATTTTTTTTTTACTCTTTTCTTCTAAGATATCCCGGATTTTAAAAGAAAGTGATTATATTAATTTTTGGTGGGTTTTTCGAGTTTATTCTCATGGGGAGTTTTCAAATTTTCCTAGGCGGTATCCTTTTGATCTTATCTTAATTTTTTAACCATTAATGAAAATAATATCATTATAAATATTTATGAATATGTTAAAAAAATTTACTAATAAAAAAATAAAATATTAATTTTTTTATTAGTCAGATCGGATCAACAACCTATTTTCATGTTGACTAGCCGAGAAGAATAAGTCTTCTTTGATTACATTGGATGTTTAACTATCTTTTATTGGAATATAATGATTATGATTTGACACGATGTTATGGAGATAATTTCTAATACGATATACATTTGACTTGAAAATTATTAAAACTCTCGAAAGAAATGTCTATTGCGAATTCATTTCTAAAGTCGTTATGCGAAGAATCTCATCATTTGTCAAGAGTTAACTCTCAAATCGATCTCTTGAGGTTTTGGAAGTATTTTATGGAAATCACGTCTTATATCTTATCCAATGGATCTTGGATCATTAAAAAAAAAAACGGATATATCTTGGCTGATACTCAAGAAGTACTCTTACCAGTGTTATCAATCAGCTTAAATTACCAGATTGGAGAACCTTTATCTAATTTCCAGGATGATGAACTTAAATTGCTTGATTACGATATATTTTCGTATAAATTTCACGAGGGCTCTAAATTACCCGATTTCGAAAATCCTTTGTCCAAATTACAGGATTATGATGAGGAGCTTAAATTACTGATAACCCTTTAAATTACCTGAAGACTTTACTTTAAAAGAATCGATTAATGATGAACTTCCTGTTTACGATGAAAATGAGGAAGTATTTCAATTACAGGATGTAATAATTTACAAGAATACGATGAGAATAAAAATTAACTAATTTTCAAGATCTTAATAATAATAATAAGACAGAAAATACTTCAATGGTAGAAAGAAAATGATTTATCCGTTTATGATGAAAATGATGATGTTGATGATGGGGTAAAAAATATAATGAAGACGTCGCCTTCGTAATGGAAACAATGACTTAAATGATTCTGAAAATAATCATGATGAAGATTATGAAGACATGATTCAACAATATTTATGAAAATGATAGTCACTGAGATTGAGGAACTTTATCAAGGATCTTATAATCATGCTCATTTTGGCTTTATACTCGTGAGCGAAGAAGCATACGTAGAAGGATACAGCCATACAAAATATGGCAGTAATATCTGCAAACATCAAACAACAAATCTTTTGCCAATTTTCTTCTAGATTTGATTCGACCTTTCCCACTTGTAAATCATAATTTGCGTTCAAGAAAAGGGATTTAAACATTATCTTGAAATCTGTTGTTGTATTGGTTGGGTAATGGAATGTGAGCTACCGACGAATATGGGTGGTATTCTATTAAAATTGAGGTACGAGATATAGTAAATGATCCTTTGTTCATCTCAAATATTCTTCAAAACTGATGATACTTCTAATACCAGAGGAAATGAAACAATCAAAATCATTTAACTGGCGGGATCAAATTATTATTATAGAATGCTCTATTAGATATCAATTTAAGTTCATCATCTGATGATGTTTCTAACTTTAGTCAAAGTTTAACAAAATATTATATTATTACAATTTATATAAATAAAATCATATTATAAAAATAAATTATTTTAAGACTTTTTACTAGCAGTCATTACTTCGTTATAATATATTAATAAATGTAAATTACAAGACAATATCCATTATAATTTGCCTTTAAATTTTCCTAATTCTTTAATTTCTTGAGAAATTTCTGAATTAAAGTCAATATTTGATGCATATCTGTATCCTCAAAAGTTTCCTATACATCATTCAATCGCTCTACTAAATTATGAATATTTAATGAAATTTCAATAAGATCCGTAGCCATTTTAGTACTAAGCTCCTTTAATAGCTAGAATCTATTTTTTATCCTGCCAAATGCCTGTTCTACAACTGACTATGCTTCTTGTTAAATCAATTTTGTCTATTTTCTAAAGGGTTTTAAATGGTGTAATAATCATATTGGAAATCGGATAAGCAGAATCGCATAATGAATATTCATTTTCTTCAAATAATTGGTTTTTTGCAAAGGTAAAGTTTAGAATTTCGAAACACCTTTGCATCATGAGCCGGTGCAGGATAACCAATATCATAGAATGTAAATAGCCCACAATGATCAACGACAGCCTGTAAATGAATTGCATAACGGCGTTTTCTTGTAATATATACATCTTTATTCAATTTGCTAGGGGCCTCAAATAAATTCATGTGAGATCCATCTAAAGCTCCAATAACATTAGGAAATCTGCGTTTTTCTTCAATCCTCTATGTACTTCTTGACGATAATTATTGCGTGGCCAAATAATAATTTGGGATTTTAATGATTTAAGAGCAACAATTATGTTTGATGTAAACAACAAAATAGTCCCTTCAGCAATTCCAAATTTGGAACAAATTTCCCATATGATAGATTTTCCACCTAATCTATATAGAAGCACATCCAATTGTTTCTCTACAGATGATAGTTTTTTTTGGAAAATTTTATGGTCACGAATTTTATCAACAATTTCCAAAATGTTGATTGATTCATTCTTAATGTTCTACGAAGTCGTATATCATTTCATCGTAATTAAATAAAATTGTTTCGTACCAATGGTTTGATTTAGGTTGTCTAATATTCTCAGGCGTGCTCTGACATTCATTTGCAAGATGTGCTTTTAAGGCACAAGGTTTACCTCTTTTCCAAACCCGATTACTATGGTAACAAGTTGCCTTGTATTGTCCTTGGTTTGATTTCAAAATTATGTCCATGTTTTTTAACTCTCTATCGTGACGGTGGTGGTGGTTGTGAAGGTGGTGTTGGTGCCGGCACTGGGTTAGTGTTAGAATTGGAGTAAGATGAGGCGTATCGAAACAAGCGGTTATGTTAGTTAAAGACATTCGGAAAGCAAAAAAAACAAAACGATCGATTTTAATCCGCACTAAACTGACGGTTTCACAAAAACGTGACTGTGTATGATATGAACACGTCACATTTACGCAAAAACGTCTAAAGTCATTACGACGTCATGTGACAATTTGCCGATTTGACGTCTGTGCATCATCCCTAAGTGTAACTTAAATTTGTTGCACGACAAAGTTTACAAAAAATACCCCTCCTTGTATTCATTCCAATAGGTTCATGATCTTCCGGATAAACCCAAAAAAAAAACAGGTTTATTGGTACAATATAAGAAAAATTTTTTAAATTTTTGGGGTATTTCGTACATTAAATAAAATGTCCGAACTAACAGAAATTGAAAATGGGTCTATCGCTGAATCTTCAAGTCTTAATACCAAATCCACTAAATCTTCAATTCCTTACGAAAGATCTATCAGGACTGCGAGCCTTTTTACTGAATCTACTAGAGCATCAAGTCAAAATACAGAATATGATAAATATGATGAACCTTTTAATCTAAATAGTGAACAAAGAAAAAGAGAAAATGCCTTTTTGGGATATTATGAATGTTTAAACAGTGGTAACTCGAAATTAAACATACCAACAATGTCCATATCCACAGCTAGAATTGATTTACATGAGGTAATATCCAGAAAACAAGTGATGAAAGAAGGGAGGCATTTAATTTTAGCAAAGATTAAAGAATCTCCACAAATTAAAAATGTTTCCCTTTTTATTATTACGGGTAAGGGTCGGAAAAGACACGGAGAATTTAGTGGAAAAAAATTTAATCAGTTTCCCGCTTGGATGCAAGATGAAAATATCGTAAATCTGTTAGGTGGAAACCCTGTAAAGGGTCTTGGAACTTATGAAGTAGTTCTCAAGAAAACTATGGATTCTAGTGATGCAAGCGAAAACAGCGATATTAACGAAACAATTTTAAATAAATGGAAAGAAAACTCGAAGGCAAAAAATGATGTCACTTATAAAATGGCATTAGCTGGATTTTTTATGAAAGGTAATAAAAATGATTTTGCCAAAACCAAAAAATGTTATCTAGAAGCCAAAAATTTGTATTTACAAGCCGCAAAGCTTAATTCTATTGAAGCAAACTTATGTTTAGGATATATTTACTCTCTTGGATTGACTCAAAAAAATGATTACAAACCAAAAAAGGCCAAAAAAATCTTTAAAAATGTAGCAAGCAAGACATCGGCAACGAATGAATTAATTGCTGGGATGGCAATGAGAAATATAGCTACATTATTTCATAATTCTGCTATTGAACCAAGCTTATTAGAAAGATTCAAAAATATTAGTGTTAGGGATAAAAAACAATTGAATTTAAAAAAAGCAGAAAAATGGTATAAAAGATCTAGTGATAAAAATGATAGTAAATCTGCATATAATCTTGGATTACTTTATGAAGGTTATGATGGATTTAAAGAAAATAAAGGCGAAGCAGAAGATTGGTTTAGGAAAGCGGTAAATTTTAATAAGAATAATTTACACGCGAAAGCTAAACTTGGAAGAATTTTAATAAATAAAGGAGATACGGATGAACACAAGAGAAACGAGGGAATTGAAATGTTAAAAGAAGCAGCAGAAGACGGGTTAGTTATGGGACAGGTATTTCTTGGTCGAGCTTATGAGGAAGGAATAATTACCGAAGGGAAGGCTAAGGATTACAAAAAGGCTGTTAAATTCTATTCTAAAGCTGCTTGGCAAAATCGTGGATATTATAGCCATGTTGCGCAATATCGTCTCGTAGAATTAAAAACTAAAATTCATATTGAAAATATTGATGCTATCAATGAATTATATACAAAAGAATTGGATTATGGCTATATCGAAAGTGAAGAAAAACTTAAAAAGTTTTTTCTTTAAATGAACTCTTAGCTAAACAGAGGGAATATTTTTTGGATCATTGACCATTATAATTATTTATTATTTTGCTATCTTATACTTACTTTTATTTATCTCGAAATAAATCAAATAAATTACTTCTAGTACTTACTTATTAACAATGCTAAATGGATAAATTTTAAGTTTTCTTAAACTTTAGAAATATATTCCATTTATAACCTTTAATTTTCATCATATAACAACGTGTGTGAATAAGTTAACGTATCGTATAGTGTTTAAACAAATATAATTTTATTGTTAATGAATTTGACAATAATATTTATAATTAAGAAGAAAAGTTTGAGTCTGCTATTTCCATTATTGTAAAATATCCATACTATCTAGACAAAAATGTAATATTACCACGATAGCCGAGATGGGCTTTATTAACCCTACGGTTTATAAATATTTTATGCAATTATTAAACTTTCAAAATGAGCAATAGCTTTACCAAGTAGTTTAAAAAATAATTTTTTTAATAAATACTTATATGTTTAATTTAAATAAAGTTCTATTAAAGTTATAATTAACAAATGTATTTAATAAATTATAATAAATAAATCTCATCGGCTATCTGCGACTTCAAATAGTGTTTATATATAAGCGACAACTTTATTTATATCCATGATTTCATTATTTAACAACCATTCATTTCAACAAAATTATTCATTTTATTTGTATTTAAAAATTTATTTATTAAAATATTTTTTTTTATTACTTGAAAAATCAAACTTGATTCCTTGATCACAATCATAGGGTTTATATAAGAAATAATTTCTATTAGTTTTGCTTTTCTAATTTCTTTTCTATTTCTCCTAATATTTCTTTTCCGATTACTTTTCTAATTCTATTCCTATAATATTATTAGTTACATTCGTATATAATATTTTTCCTATTTTAAATTATTGTTTCACTATTATGTATTATTTACTATTTTATTTTTGAACTCTATTCTACTTCTGTATTCCATTCTTTTCTATTACTATATTCTTTTCTATTGTCAAATTCCTTTATGCTTATGACATCATGTGTTATCTTTATATTACACAAGTCTTTCTGCATATTTGTATTACTTCTTCAAATATTATTTTCAAATATTTTAAGTCTTTCTATAAGACCCTCTATTTAGTTCATTAATTATTTGATTTCTTGACTCTCCGTTCAGTCTTTTAATTATCCTTTCCTTTTCGATAACTAATTTATCTGAATTATTTCCTTCCAAAATTTATCCTTTCTGCATAATCTTTTCTTTCATATCATAGTTTATCCGTATATTTTCTTTCTTTAATAAAATAATTATTATTCCTTTAATCATATGAATTTCCTTGTGAATTTTGTTATATATTTGTTAATCCTTATCGTACATATTGCTGTACTTTAAATTATGAAATTGTTGATTTTTATAATGTTTAATAAAAAATGATAAAGTCATTTCATAAATTATTCAATTAGATAATATGTAAATCGTCCAATTAGAATAAGTTCTAGTAAGAAGAAATTTCAGATTTATCCAAAATTTTCAATATAGTTTATTATATAATACTAATAAACTTTCAAATTAATCTAAAAAAATTTTTTTCTTTTTTTAACATTTTTTTTTCTTTTTTTTTTAAAAATATTTTACCATTTTTCTTTTATTTTTTTTTTAGGAAATTCTTATTTCATAAATAAAATAAGTTATTTAGAAGTGATTTTTTAAGTAATAAATTTACTATTTTCTTTTTCTTTTTGTTTTATATAGAAAATTTTCTTTTGAAAATAAGATATTGTATGTAAATCAAAAATGATTTTTTAGGTGAAAATTTATTATTTTTTTTCTTTTTTCTTTGTTTTTTTTGCAAAATTATTACTTTAGAATTAATGCAAATAAATTGTTTAACCTTTTTAGATTTTATAAAAGTAATTTTTTGGATGAAAATATACTATTTTTTTTATTTTTTTTTTAGAAAAATTCTTATTTGAAATAAGATAAATAAATTGAAAATGACTTTAAATAAAATTTTTTTTTTTTTAGAAAAATTATTATCTTGAAATTAAGTAAGACTTTTTAAGTGAAAATTTATTATTTTGTTTTTTTTTTATTCTTTTTTTTTTAGAAAAATTATCATTTTAATATTAAGATAAATGAATGAAAAATAATTTTTTAGGTAAAAATTTACTAATTAACTTTCTTTTTACTTATTTTTTTTAGGAAATTATATTCTAAGATTAAAATAATTAATTAAAAATGATTTTAGTATAGATTTTTTAATCTTTTCTTTATTTTTCTTTATTTTCTTCTATGATTAGTTAATAATAAGTGATTTTAAAATAGAATATTTGATTATTTCTTTATTTTGCTTTATTTTTTTTTTATAAATATATTTATATAGATTAATTAGATTAATTGAAAATAAAACTTTGAAGTGGATTTTTTAATTATTTCTTTTATTATTTTTATTTTTTTTTAAAAAATCAAATTTAATAATTATGTAAAAATAATAAGATTATATAATTAATAAAATTTAAATAAATATAAATTTATTATTATTAGTTCTGATTTATTTAAGCTAATTTTAAGATGCTTTGAGCTGATTAATGATTGAATTTAGATTATTTTTAGGTTAATTTTAGATGGCTGATTAATGATCGATTAATTATTTTGATTGATTCTAATTTTATTAATCAGAATTAATGTAAATTAATTATATATATATTATCAATTATATGCTATTAATCATTTAATCAATTATTTATCTAATTTTTAGTTATTTTGAATTTATTTTAATTAATATTTTTTACAGTTAATTTTATAATTCAAGAATTACTAATAAATTGTGATTAAATATAACTGAAAATATTTTATAATAAAATTTTTATAAATTATTATGATTGAATATGATTGAAAAATTATTAGGTCAATGAATTATAAATCAGCTATAATGTTTATATTTATAAATAATTGTAAAATAGCAAAAGATTTTTTAATTAAATAATATCTATTCAAAAATTATTTAATAAAAAGTAATAACTTAACATTAGTATTCTAAATTCTTCAAAGTTAATTTTATTAAATATCAATCATATGAAATTAATATAGCTAAATAAATATTTATCAAAAAGGATATCAGGTTATTTCAATATTATATAGAATTTATTATTAAAAACTTGTCTATTTGAACCTAATATTAATCTCATCTTTTTATACCTTAAAAATTGAAAGGATAAAGAATAAATTGACTAGAGATTATTTTGGCCAGTAATCAATATAACTGAAAGATGATTTGATTTGTCTTATGATAGTAATTATGCTAATCTTTCAAATTTCACATCAGCTTATATCTTTAACTATATTAAATAAACATTACAATTGTGATTACTAATTAAAATATTAACAAATAATATTACAATTTATTCAAATAATAATTAATATATCACATATGCAATTGACTAATTATTGTAACATATTTACAAGATACTTATAAATTAGAAATTTATTTTAAAAATTAAAATTTAAAATTTTTTATGTTCAAATATTTATTCACATATTCACTTACTTCTTTATATTATTATTCTCTTTTCTTATCAGAAGGGTGGTTATTGTTAAAAGTTTTAAATAAATATTTAAATATATCATTACAATTTTTTTGATTATTTAAAAATAATTCATTACTTTATTTAATGATAACTTCTTACTTATCTAAAATTTCGCTTACTTATTTGGGCATATGGTCTTAATAGTTAAAGAATATATTCTAAAAATTTTAAGTTTTGTCTGAACATCTGTGGTTTTCCCAAAGCTTTAAAGTCTGACATTGATCAACACTAGTATTGAAAATTTTGGCTCAAAACCAACTTTTTTATTTCATGTTCAAATATTATATAACTTTTATATTAAACTTTTGATAATATAAACTATTAAATATAATATGATGAATTTGAATATTTGTAGAGGAACCCCCGAAGCAATGTGGCAAAATGATCGACATGGTGATATATGGGAGGTGGTCAGTAGAAAAGGGGAAATCCAAAATTTTTGTTAATTTTTTATTATTAAGCCAAATTTGTGCCTATAATCGAGATTAGCAAAGTGGTCTAATAATATAAATTTTGACCAAAATTTAGATTTCCCCTTTTCTACTGACCGCCTCCCATATGTCCACTTTCCTTTGTTAGTAAACAACAAAAAAAATTTGTATCAAACGTTCAGAGAATTTAAAAAATTCTGTTTATATTATTGGTGAAAATTATGGATTGCATATAACGAAATTGAAAAAGTGATCGACCCACGAAATGTAATCATTAGAAAACCCAACCTAACCTAATGCAATCAGTGTTAATCTTGTAATCACAAAAGGTTTCGAAAAGATTTTGATAACTCGTGGTAATCGTGAAATCAATAAATTTATTCAATGGCATCAAAAAGTATTTGTATAAATGGAAATAGGTTCATGCTTTCTTAAAATTTTGAACTATTCAAAAGATGCTGTAACTTATCATGAAAATTGGTTCATTGATGACTGAAACATTCAGACAGGATTTATATCTGAATTTTATAATTATGATGATAATAATTCTCAGAGTTTAAATGTTAAGATAGAAACAAAATGATATTGAAACAAATAGAAAATTTTATTATAAATTTTATTGAAATATGATAATTTTTTCTTATAAATTGGAACAAACTGAAATTTATTTACTTAGCACGCTCGAAAACATCGATCGGCAAATTCGTATACCCGTCATTTTTATTATAAACAAGTAGTGAATCTCTAAATGTGTGCTCGACCGTAGAAAACAATATTAAAATTAAAAAATAATGTATAAAACATCATGTCGCACAAATATTTGTTTGTGTTACTGTATTCGGAGTTTTCATTTCATTGATTTCCTCAAAGAATATACAGTACATGTTGTATGACATGAATAAATAGCGCAAAGCAATTTAAATTTATGAACTCCTATTAAAAACTTTTGAACTTTCTTCTAACATCTTCTTTTAGAAAATTTTTTTAGCCTGAATTTTACAAGCACCTTTTCTTTTAGAATATTTTTTTAATTTTCTTAACGTTAATCTTATGAATAATGGGAATTAAAAAATTATTCATTTGCTGTTGCAAAGACGAAGGTGAGCATGTGTTTAATTATTCACCTAAAGATGATTAAGATATTCTAAAAAAACGTTTTCTTAAATAATAAATTTCAGATTCCGAGACACAAAAAAAAGGTAAAATTGATCGTTCGACCATCAACAATGATTCTATTAAAAACCAACCGTAGCATATAAGAATTGCTCCTGACTAGCCTTCATTTCGGATTAGTTAAACTTATTGGGGAATAAATATCATCACGGTTATCAAACATTTTGTAAAGAATTTCAAAAATGTATATTATAAATCAATAAAATTATTTTAATTATTTAGGTTCGAATTCCGGGAAACCTTCCACTTCAAATGGTAAAAAGTTATTTATATTTACATTTTTCCCTCCAAAATTCATGAAAATAATTCCAAAAATTTTTCTTTAAAAGATTTAGCGCCAGAGAATAATAGACCAAATGGTAAAAGGATGATTTATACATTAAAATCACATCATAAATTCTTTAATAATTATTTCAAAAATTTAGCGCAAGATTCTTCCGAGCAATTTTCTATTTTGATTAGTAAGGAAAATTATCACATCAATGATTTCAAAAACATTTTTCTTATCAATAATAATAATTATAATTATTAGCGCCAGATTCCGAGATACTTCCAATACAAAATGGTAAAATTTAAATACATACATTATTAAAAATTTATAGTTTGATTTGATCAGCAAAATCATTTTTTTTCAAAAAGGTAATATTGCGTCAGATTCGGAATCAAAAAAATCCGCTCGTAAGTTACTTTTTTTAGATTTACTACTTCATTAAACTATATTTTTAAATAATCCATTTCAAAATTGTTTCTTAAAAAAAAAAAATAGAGTCCGATTTGAGTCCCTATAATCCTCCTGCAATAACAGGTAAAAAAATTATCATCTTTATATATATTGGTTCGGATTCTTTAATATACACTTATAAAAAAAATATTAGATAAGAAAGAACGTTTTGCCGACGGTTTAGATACGGCAAACTCCGTGCTAGTACCGTTCTTAAGTTTTTTACCACTTATAACGGAGGTAACCCAAGTATTTAATGAAATAATAAAAATATATCAAACAGCTGAACATAATAAACAGATATGTGGTATATTTTTGGATAGAGTTCAATTAGCTGATACTTCCGTAAGGAATTTAAAAAATCGTAGAGATGTAAATGTAGAATTTTTTTCAAAAAATAATCTGATGCATCTACAAAAATTGGTTATCATTGTTGCTCAAATTCGTAAATTTGTTGGAGAAATTTCTCAACTGACAGGTTTATACAAGTATATTCAAGCTAAAAATATTGAAAATACTGTTAAAGAATTAAGTAGCGAATTTGATTCCAAGATACAAGCATTGCACTTTTCTTTGTCTGTCGATTTTGGTATCAATGCAGATAGAGCTGCTAAAGATCAAGAAGCTATTCTGTCTGATATCAAAGACTTAGTTCTGGTAATTATGTTTGGTGTTCGTCGATTTATTTTTATGAATTTGAATGAATTTAATATAATTACAACATCATGTAGTATCTTACACATATCGGCAGTGGTGTTACTGACGAGAATCAAAACGTCTCGGAAGAAGTTGTGCTATTAAGCGTACTTAATAAAAAGTTTACCGATTCTAAATCAACAGTAAACACTGATATTTTTAAAAGTGAATTACTCGATTATAATGATTTTGAAGAGGAAGAGCTTAAAGATAATCAATCTCCGACAAAAGTTAGAAAATTTAAAAGAAGAGCAAAAGGATTGAATGATTTTGTTGCATTAAAGTTGGTTGCTGATAAAACTAGCATTAAAGCAGAAAAGGAAAATTTTATAAAGCAAGTTATTATTTTAAAAAAATTGGATCAATGTGATTGTATTATTCAATACTTTGGTTTAACTGTTAATGATGATAAATTTTATTTGGTGACTGGATGGGCCGAGTATGGCAATTTACGTGAATATTATCAAAAATATTCACTCGACCTTAAGCTGAAGTTAAGTTTTGCTCTTGACATTGCTAAAGGCTTAAATTTCTTGAGCGCTGTTAAGGTAATTTTTTTTAACTATTATTTTCCATCTCTCTCAAAATAATTTCCGAGAAATCATTTGTTGATTTATTTGTGGGAAAAACTCGTCTTGACAGATCGTTCATCGTGATATTAGAGCCGAAAATATTCTAATCACATCTCGGATGTTGGCAAAGATTGCAAATTTTAAGGATAGTCGAGCAATTACTGATGTCACAAAGAATCAAGGCGCAACGCTAGAAACCGTACGGTATTGCGCTCCTGAAAAATTGGAAAAAGGAAAGGCATATAAATATGATACCAAATGTGAAGTTTATAGTTTTGGAATTTTGCTTTGGGAAATCGCCGAAGAGAAAATTCCTTATGAGAAAGAAGGTAATGATATAATTGCAATTACCGATCTTGTTTGCATTAAAAAATACCGTGAGACATTTTCTCTCGGTTCTCAATTACCAGAGGAATACAAAGAACTTGCAAAAAAAGGTATTAGAATAATATACATCGGTTTTCTTTATAAACAACCTATATGGCTTTTTATATTTTAAATGTTCTAACTTCTGTAAATTAACTATTATAAAATTATCATAGCTGTTCATCCTGATCATAACTTTAGACCTCAATTTTCCAAGATTTTTAACACATTACAAGAACTTTTTCAGAAAGTTGGTATACCACATCCATCACCGAAACTCTTGGCAACACGTGTGAATGATTTCTCAAAAGATAAAGAAGCGATTATAAATTTCGAAGATTTTAATTATATGACAGTAGATGATGCAGTAAGAAATAGAGAAAATCGCGAGTTATCTTATAAATGTTTTGTAGCATATGCAGAATTAAACGATATAAAAGCGAAATACTATAAAGCATATTATATTCAACAAAATTACGTTAAACTTGATATGGATCAAACATCAAAAAACAAATTAGTAGCAGAATTGTATAAAGAAGCGGCGGATTCGGGCTTTCCCGAAGCTCAATTACGTTATGGTGTTTGTTTATATAAAGGTATTGGAGTTAAAAAGGATTTAAAAGTAGCTGCCGAGTATTTTACTAAATCCGCCGACAATGGCCAAGCTGTTGGTATGTTTAATGCTGCTACTTTGTATCTCTCTGATAATGCTGATATAAGAGATGAAGCATTAGGTAAAAAATATATGAGATTAGCTGTTTATGAACAACATAACGAAGCTGCTGAATATTGTAAGAAGCATGATATTCCTTTGTAGTTTTAAACAAATCACTTTATATTTATTTCAAAGATTTAATGTTTCGTAGTTTATTCAAAATAAATTTTTATAAAACATATTTTTTAAAAAAACTGTTTCAAGTAATAAAAATAAAAAGGGATTACTGTCGCCACTGAAAATGACGAATACTTGTTATACCAAACTAAGTTATATATAGCCGATTTTTTATTACCTTATGAAAATAGCATAGTTCTCTAATTTAATAAGGAGAGAGTTTTCCTATATGGTTGAAGGACCCTTAATTTATGGATTGAGATCTATAGCTAATAACAGAAAATGTCTAAAAAGATTATAATAAACATTTTTTAGAATTAAATATATTATATAAAAATATGGGTTTTAGTGTCTGTAAATTCAAAATAAGATGGTATGAATTAGCTATATATATATATATTAAAGAAAATGGTAACTTTTCAAAAGTTTATTTACATCTTTATGATTTTGTTATTATTCAAAATAAAGAATTAAAAGAATACTTAAAGGAATTTTTTAATATTAATGTAATAATGAAAATGTTTATATTTTTATTAATATAAATTAATTTAAAAAAAACAAGAAAGAAACATTTATTATTAAAATTTTTTTATCAAATTTTAACAAAAAATTGGTGATGAATTTTTAATTATATAATTGATAATGCTAAATGGAAATAATTTTTATTCAAATTTAATCATAATTTTCAATCAATTAATTTATTAATTTCTAATTAAAATGTATTATAAATTTTAAATGAATCTATAGTTTTTGCATTATTTCAAATAATATAATTTAAAAAACAATTTATGATTTTTCATAAATAAATAATATATAAAATTTTAGCTTTATAAAGAAAATACTTTATTAATCTTAAATTATTTTTTTTTTAACAAATAATTTTTAATGTATTTAAAATTTATTTTTAAATTTGAAAGGAAAGCATTAAAAAGTTAGTAAAACAAATAGATTTAATAGTTTTTATTTTATAATATAATTCTATTCAATAGTAATATATTTAATTTAATAAAAATTTATTTAAATATCTTTATTTTTAATTCAATTATATCATAATAATAAGGATTTAATGCCAATTTAATATTGGATTCACATTTAATTTTATATTATAGTATATAAATTTTACATAAATTTTTTTTATTAAAATAAATAAAAAACAAAAGTTTTGAACTTATATTACTTATATTGCAAATGTAATTTTAAATTTATTTAAACTATTATTCATATTTAAAGAATAATAATATTACATATTATATAATTAATTTTTAAATATTAAATAATTAAAATAAATGATTTTTAAATATACAAATAATTTAAAATCAAATATAAAATAATCCAAAAAATTTAATAGTAATAACTAAATCCTTGTTTTAGAATAGGTATACCCAACTGATGTTGATTATATATTTTCTATTTTTGAAAAAATTTAACAAAAGTAATAATAAAATAATATATATTTATTATATAAATAGCAATATTTTTGCAGCAAGCAAGACATATTCTAATATTATTAATATGCTAATAATTCATTTTTTATTTTTAATTTATTCTAAAAAAAAAGATTTATAATAATTAATTAAAATATATTTATTTAAATAAAAATATAAGAAAATATATAATTACTTGATTATTTTTTTATTTTAATTTTTTAAAAAAAAAAAATTTAAGTGAATATATTTATTATATTTATTAAATAAAAAATTCATATGAATTTTTATCATTTATAAATAAAAAAAGAAATTTAGTGTATTTATCAATTAATTATTCTTAAGCATAGTAAAACTTGTAAAATTTATATTTAATTTATTATAAAAATATTATTTATTTCAAAAAATTAATTGATTATTATTTTATTATAATTATGTAATTTTTTATTTAAAAAATATACTTGATTGAAATTAGAAGTAAATGAATTTGTTTTATCATTGTTGTTTTTATTGATTTCATTTTGTTAATTCTATAAAATTTTTTTAAATTATTTCTATTAAATTTAAAATAAAAATTGTTTTTTAAATATTTAATTTAAATTATTAATATTTATATTTATCTTTAAACTATAAATTAATTTATAAAATTTTATAATTGTATTCATTAATAAAATATAATGTGTATTTTTATTTATCTATTTCATTAAATAAATATTATATTTAAAAATAAATAATATATTTTTTTACTTATTATATACTAAGAGTAGTGTTGCTATTTAAACTTAAATTCCGTAATTTAGAATAACTATAATAGTTTAGTAAACTACTGAAACAAGTTTTGTTTAACTGAAACTTATTTTTAGTAGCTTTGGATCGTATCCTTAATTAAGAGAGAACAAAAATATTGCATAGTTTTGATTTAGATATTTTAGTTAATTTATTATATGTAATTGAGCCATATTTTTTTAGTAAAATATGGTCTTATACTTAATAAAATAAAACATTGCAAGGTGAAAAATCAAAAAATTAAAAACACAATTTTTCACATGAACTAACTAAGCTTCGCTATAAGATTCAATATTTAGCTTTTTGGATATTTCTCTTATAAAGGAAACCAAATAACAATTATATAAAAACGTCTTATAATATTTATGATTTCGGAATTACTAAGCCCAATTTTTGCTGTAATAATGCATTTTTTTTTCCAAAAGATAAGTCCTTTAATTATATTATCACTTTTGCAAATCAAAATTTGGGAGTATTTTCAAATTTGATTTTACGAATTGCAACATATTAACGTTAATTCAAACTATAATAAAAAATATTTCATTTATATAATCAATTATTAATATATTGTTAAAAAAAATATGGTTCAATTAATACATGTGATAAATGACTAAAATATCTAAATCAAATCTATGCACTACTTTTGTTCTCTCTCGGTATATGCAAAAAAGTATTTTTATATTTTGAATGATTTTTGTTACATCTTAAAGTTTAAGAATAAATTTGCATAATTTTCATTATTAATTTCTATTATTATTCTATAATTTCAATTATTTTTAAATTGAAAATTATTATATTTGTTAAATTTGGCTAATGAGAATTAAAAATAATATTTTACTATGTTGCTAATTTCAGTTCATTTTTTAAATAAAGTCCAGCTTTAATAAATTCATATGCTTTTTTTAAAGATGAAATAATATTTCTCCAACATTTCTTTCTTTTAAAATATGAAAGTGCTTTTTCTATTATTATCAGATAAAGAATTTAATTCTACTATCATTTAATTCATAGTACAAGCTCGGAATAGAATTTTTTTTGTTGAACTAATTCTACCAATGGTAAATAAGATCGACAAAAAAATCCTCAAATAAGAATCGGTCTTTGAAATATGCTTAAAGTTCATTTATCATTAAAGTATAATTTTCAATTTAAAGGGCGATCAAATTAGTAAGCAGGAAATATAAAGCTTACGGTACGATCTTTCATAGTCACGATACTTAAGAATTATAATAAATAAATTTTTGGAATTAACTAATTATAATTAATTCTTGAATTTGGTGTAGCAATTATTTTTAATCATCTAATTAAATGTTTGACAAATATACCGTTGAACCAAAATTAATAAGTACATAAATCGTACGTAGACCAATCAAGTACGACTTCTAATTTCGCACATACCGTATGTTTTTCCTCCCCTCCCACTGGTTCTATTATATTCTGACCAATTGATTCGTGCCGTCAATATACGCCGTTGTTTTCTATTAATATCGAGAGGTGAATATAGGCTGCGTGCATCACCATAGAAAACAATATTAAAATTAAAATAATGTAAAATAACCATCAATGCAGCGACACCTGCAGAATCATACATGTTTCCTCTCCCAATTGTGTTGTGAAATATTTTATAAAACATCATGTCGCACAAGAATATTTTTGTGTACCTGTAATCGGAGTTCATTATTCCATAAGAAGTTTATAAAAGATTAAAAGGGAAGAAGCACAACGCAACGCAATTCAATTTAAATTAAAAAAATTTTTGAATTTTAAAAACTCCTAGAATACTTTTTTTTTCTAATTTTTTACCTAATTTTACAAGCACCTTTCTTTTAAAAAATTTTTTTTTTAATTTTCTTAAATTTTATAAACAATGGGAATTAAAAATTTATTTATTTGCTGTACAAAAGACGAAGGTGAGCATGTGTTTAGCGTATCTGGCTGTTATCGTATTTATGATTTCATAAACTTTTATCTGACTATCCAATCAACTTGAATCAACAAAAAATTTGCGCTAGGTTCGGATTCCGAGACACCAAAAAAAGGTAAAATTAACAAACTATGAATGATTATATAGTAATAATTTCAAAAATCCATTCAAAAAAAAAAGAAATTATTTAAATAATTTAGATTCGAGACTCGAAAAACCTTCTCCTTCAAGAGGTAAAGATTTAATTTAAATATAATTTTGCCCTCCATTAAAAAATTCTTAAATAAAATTTCAATATATTTTTTTTTCGTTAAAAAATTTAGCGCCAGAAATCGAGCAAGGTAAAAAGATAATTTATAAATCAAAATTCATCAAAAATTCTTGATTAATTTTCAAAAAATTTCTTTAATTAGCACCAAATTCTGAGCAACTTTCTATCTCGAATAAATCAGATGGTAAAAAGATAATTTATACATAAATTTCATCAAAAATACTTTAATAATGATTTTTTTCTTAAATATTTATAATTGGCGTCAGGTTCCGAGATATCTCCTATAATAATTAAAGAAAATGGTAAAAGAAGTTTTATAAATTTGTCTAATAAATTTTTAATGATTTCAAATTTTTTCTCAAAAAGGTATCGCGAGAGATTCGGAATCAAAAATATCCGATTGTAAGTTAATATATATAATAAATAGATTTTCCCATCAAACTATATAATTTTAAATAATAATTTCAAAAATTTTTTCTTAAACAAAAAATAGCGTCCGATTTAGATCCCGATAAAACTCCAGAAAATGGTAAAGAAATATATTTTTTCATTCATTGATTCAGACGCAAAATATGCTTTAATTAACGTTTTATTAAATTATAAATTTATAATTTATAGAACCAAAGCCAAATATTCTGTTAGATGATCCGATTGTTACCGGTACAATAGGAACCGTATGCGACTTTATAGAACCATTTGCAGGATTTTTACCACTTATAACGGAAGTAACCCTAATGTTTAATGAGATAATAAAAATTTATCAAACAGCTGAACATAATAGAAAAATATGTGGTATATTTCATGATAGAGTCCAAATAGCTGATACTGCCGTAAGGAATTTAAAAAATCGTCGAGATGATAATGTAGACTTTTTTTCAACTAATAATCTGATTCATTTACAAAAATTGGTTAACGTTATCGGTAAAATTCGTAAATTGGTTGGAGAAATTTCTCAATTGACAGGTTTATCCAAGTATATTCAAGCTAAAAATATAGAAAATGAAGTTAAAGATTTAAGTAGTGAATTTGATTCCACTATACTAGCAATACAATTTTCCCTGACGGTTGATTTTACTATCAACGCTGATAAAGCAGCAGCTAAAGATAATGAAAATATTAAATCTGATATTAAAGAGTTGGCTCAGGTAATGTGATATGCATCTATTTGTTTGAATTGAATATAATTTACCTTATTTATAACTTCATGTAGTATCTTACAAACATCGGCAGTGGTATTACTGACGAGAATCAAAACGTTTCGGAAGAAGTCGTATTATTGAGCGCACTTAACAAAAAGATGACGGAAGCTAAATCAGCAAATACTGATATCTTTATTAGTGAATTACTCAGTTATAATGATTTTGAAGAAGAAGAACTTAAAGATTATCGAAGTCAGACAAAGGTTAAAAAATTTAAAAGGAGGAAAGATGGATTGAATGATTTTGTTGCATTAAAGTTGGTTGCTGATAAAGATAGCAGTAAGGCTGATAAAGACAACTTTAAAAAACAAGTTACCATCTTAAAAAAGTTGAAACCCTGTGATTGTATTATTCAATATTTTGGTTTAACAGCTTATGATGATAAATTTTATTTGGTAACTGGATGGGCCGAGTATGGTAATTTACGTGAATATTATCAAAACTATAACCTTGATGTTAAGTTGAAATTAAGATTTGCTCTTGACATTGCCAAAGGATTAAATTTCTTGAGCGCTGTTAAGGTAATTTATTTTTTAAAAAATAATTTCCATCTCACTTAAAATAATTTGCCAATTTTTATATGGTTATTGGCGGAATGATAGATAGTTCATCGTGATATCCGAGCTGAGAACATCCTAATCACCGATCGTGAGTCAGCCAGGATTGCAAATTTTAAAGATAGTCGCGCAATTACTGATGGTACAAAGAATCAAGGCGCAACATTAGAAACCGTACGGTATTGCTCTCCTGAAAAGTTGGACAAAGGGCCGAAATATAAATATGATACCAAATGTGAAGTTTATAGTTTTGGCATATTGCTTTGGGAAATAGCCGAAGGTAAAATTCCTTATAAGAAAGTTGGTAATGATATAATTGCAATTACCGAACTTGTTTGCATCAAAAAATATCGTGAACCATTTTCTCTCGGTTCTCTTTTACCAAAAGAATATCAAGAACTTGCAAAAAAAGGTATTAGAATACTATACATCTGTTTTTTTTTATATCAGGTTTTTTATATTTTAAATGTTCTAACTTTTATAAATTTGCTATTATAAATAAAACCATCATAGCTGTTCATCCTGACCATAACTTTAGACCTCAATTTTCAAAGATCTTTACTATATTACAAGATCTTCATCAGAAAGTTGGTATACAACATCCATCACCAAAACTTCTACCAAAAAGTGAGGAAAATACCCCAAAAACGATTATTAATTTAGCAGAGTTCAATTATATGTCAGTAGATGAAGCAGTGAAAAATAAAAGCAATCGCGAGTTATCATATAAATGTTTTGAAGCATATGCAGAATTAAACGACAAAAAAGCAAAATACTATAAAGCATATTACATTCAACAAAATTATGTTAATCTTGATATGAAACAAACAACCAAAGACAAATTAGTAGCAGATTTGTATAGAGAAGCGGCAAATTTGGGCTACCCCGAAGCTCAATTACGTTACGGTTTTTGTTTATATAAAGGTATTGGAGTTGAGAAGGATTTAAAAGAAGCTGCCGAATATTTTACTAAATCCGCTGAAAATGGCCAAGCTGTCGGTATGTTTAATGCTGCTACTTTATATCTCTCTGATGATGCTGATATAAGAGATGAAGTATTAGGTAAAAAATATATGAGATTAGCTGTTTATGAACAGCATAAGGAAGCTCTTGAATATTGTAAAATTCATAATATTCCTTTGTAGTTTTATTTAAAAAAATTTTAATGTTTCTGGTTATAATAAAAAATTTCCTTGTAAGAAAATGCATACGATATCTTGTTTACTCATAATAAATTGTTGAATAAATTACTTACTTTATAAAAGAAAAGAAAAGCATTATTAATTCATCTTTGGCAAGTTTGTGATCTACCGTGACAACGTTTTTTTATAATTTGTAATTGTTTGGACATTGTTGTCCTGAAATGAAGTCCACTAGGCACCTTTCATTTAATACTTTTTTTGCAACAGATAATTAACCAGAAATATCATTACAAGTATTCTTTTATATTAGACTGACTTTGGGCCGAAACCTATATAATTCACATTATTCAATATATTCAACTTTGCAAGTAAATTGAACCATATCATATACTTTACAGAACCCGGTGTTTTGCGACCTTTTAGTCACGTGATCGTCGCTAAACTCGTATATATCTTGTGACGATACAATTTTGTTAAAATTCCGTTAAAGTCTCGGTATACACGAATTGAAAAATGTGAAAGAAATTAGATGTAATATAAAAAATAAAAATTAAAATTAAATAATAAAAGTCTATTAGCAATAAACTATAACAGATAAGCAATAATAATTAATAAATTATAAAAATTAGCATTAAAATTATCAATAAATGCTCGACAGCAAATCATTTTAAAGTCGTAAATTGCTAGCGAAATTTTTACTATTCCGTAATCTACAACAATATTGCGTGTCGGATTATCTAAAGCTTTTGTCCTTTCCTTATCTCTTGATGAGTAATTTACAATAAAAGATTTTTGAACAATCTGCGCAAATTTATCATGGAATTTTGAGCCCATAATTCGTCCATTTTCGTGGCATTTAACCACAGACTTGGCACGTGACTTGTTACACGAACACATTAACCTCTTCTATTTGCAGCACTCCTCTATAGCGATAGTAGCAAAAGGAAAAATTAGTAATTTAATTATCATTAATTTTTACATGAATTAAAAAGCAAAAATTACTAACCTGCCGTTTTTTTTTCGTTGTACAATTCCTCAATATTTCTGATTAACTAAAGTCCGTATCAGCTGATCTAAGCCATTCAACTCCTTCAGCTGATCACTTGATAATCAGGCGTACCAAATCTTCAAATGCATTTCTTGGAGGATCTCGAACACGATTAAAAAGACGTTTCAATTCCTACAAGAAGTCACAATGAGCCTTTGCTTATGACATTGTTAGCTTAAACAGTTCGTCGTTAAGTTAACTAAGATTATTTGCTAACAGGAAGTTTAAGTGCATCTAAACTATGGAAGAAATAAACACGAATTAATTATGTTGAAGGGTCAGGTCGTCTTTATTGATATAGATTTAAAGAAGTATGAAATTGTATATTGAGCAAAGATATAATTGTTAACAGATAAATGTTATTGATTTATTAGAGAATTGTAGCAACTCTGCCATTTATTGAGGCAGAAATACAAGATATTTATATAAAATACATCAATATGAAATAGATATTTAATATAGTAAAGATAAATAAGATATATAAGATATATAAGAAATTATAGATCGCTAAGATCGCTAAAAAATTAGAGAAATGATAGAAATCATAGAAATTAGAGAAAGTTGAGATTCATGATCAATAGGATCATCATTCGCTAATTATAATTGGCATAGTATTAATGCGTCATAACTAGACTATCACTAACAACATATTTTTTGTTAATAATTTGTGGAGTGTTCAATGAAAAAATATCCTACTCACTTTATCGTCTTGATTTTGCGTCATGGTCGATATATTTGGAGAAATATATGTTGAAAATCACTCCCCATCTGCCTCATCTGTAACTGTATCAGGATTCATACATAACACTAAACAAAGTCGAAATATTATCATTTTTTCATTTCTTTGAAAGGTGATGGAATGACTGCATCTTTTAAACTTAATCGGCCCAAAATCCTAAACCGGTTAATAACCAGTTAAAAAATTATTTAACTGGTTAATTAACCGGTTAAATTTAACTCAGGCCAGTACTATAAATTTGGGCAAAACTAGTGAAATTTTGTAATCACAAAATACTTTAATTCTGTCTGAAAATTAAAATTTTGGCTAGAGTTAAGATTTAACCGGTTAAAAAATCTTTAACTGGTTAGCAAGATAACGTCTTAACTGGTTAATTAACCGATTAAAATTTAACCAGTTCCAACCCCCAAATGCGCTGTCAAATTGACCAGAATTTTGTATGTTATTAGAAGGAAGGTCATTATTACTAATTTTTTTTTTAAGTAGTAAAGCTAATTAATTATAATTATACGAATAATTTCATAAGGATAATAAAATAATGATTGAATTTTTGGTTGTTAAATAATATTCAAATTTTTATCATGAAAATTTTCAATTGTGATTTTAAATATAAATCTGCTAATTTATTTTATTATAAAATAGTTAATTATCATTACTAACAAGTAATTTCTAAATAAGGAATTTATCTATTAATAAAAATTTGTAATACAAAATCGGTTATATATTTGTAACACAATTACATTTAGAAAAAAACATTATATTATGAAATTGCAATAGTTACAAGCAGTGTAATATCGTTAAAAAAAATAAAAAAATTACAATATGCATAATTTATAATACTTATAATAATTTAAAAATTATTATAAATAGGAGATATTTTTTTCTAAATAGATTCAAACAAATCCAAAACAATCAAATTTTAAGAATTAACAATTAATAAACCCAAATTATTCTTTTAATAAAAATGTATTATTTATGTAAATGATGTAAATGTATATTGTGTATAAGTAAAAATAAAAATAATACATTAGTAACTATATCAATATATATACATTATAAAAAGTGTCAAATTTTATCATATTAAGATAATAAAAATATTGATCAAGTTAAAGTTCATAATCAAGATTTATATATTGAATTTTATGAAAATATAATTGAAAATATTTGATGATATTGAAGATTTTGATGATTTTGACAATTTAGAAATAATTTCAGATAATAAAGAAAGATAATGATAATAATAATATTATTAATCAAGATAATGAAGAAGAAGATAATGATAGTGATAACAGTGAAGATAGTAACAATAATGAAAATACAATGCAAATTAAAAATTATAATATCATTAGCAAAGAAGTCATTGAAATCCTTAAACTTCTATATTTAAAATTTTTACATAATTTTATAGAAGTAATATACAGTAACTTCCAAAAGAAACACAAGTAGAGTTGTTTGTCTTTAAAAGCTTATAACTTACCAATCACGAATGCTAGAAATTAAACATTAAAATTTAACTAATATTTAGTAAAAATTTAATATGCGATTACTATATTAAGACCAATTTTGCATAATTTAGCGATCTACATCAAAAATTCTTACTTAATAAAATTTAAGTTTAGAAAATCTTTTAGTAAGTTGATTACTTAAAAACTGATACAGGATTCTAAGTTTTCTTAGTGTCTCAATTCTAATAAGCTAAAATTCATCAAAATCAAATAAGTAAATTAGTGAAAAATTAATAAAGAAGATTACTGCTTATCATATAAAAAATTTGGTTAGTTTTATATGATACGTAATAATCTTTCACTGATCTACTGATCCAATTTAGATGAATTTTAGTTTGTTAAAATCACTGCATTAAGAAAAATCAGAATCAAGTATCAGTTTTTGAGTAGTTGACCTACTAAAAGTTTTTTCTATACTTAAATTTCATTAAGTTAGAATTTTTGATATAGATTGCTAAATTATGTAAAATTAGTCTTAATATAGTAATTACATTACTAAATATTAGTTAATAAAGAGATGTTATTAAATGAAAAATTGGTGGTGATCATTATTAAATTTATTAACTTTTTACCTTAATACCTTAATTGGAATGTGTGTCATACATATCGACATGAATTAATTAATAAATATTTCAAATTAAAGAATTTGTGACATGAACAATTTATTTGCGTTGTATAATATATATGATATACTAGTATATTGTATTCGTATATTTTCATAATTGCAATAAGCTTATAACTTCTTTGAAATTATTAGAATAGAATCATAAAAAAAACTCTCCCATGACACTTTCGAGTCATGTTAAATTTAACGATCACAAAATAGCTTTTTTCAAAAATTTTAATTTTGTAGATTTAAAAAAAAAACCAAAATGATTTTTTCTTTAATATGATTATCATGATTTTGGATTTTTTTATTTTTATTTTTATTTTATATTTACTATTAAAAATTACTATTACTTATATTTTTAAAGAAAATTATTCCAAAAGTTAAAACTAAAACAACATCAAAAGCAAAATTAAAATCATATATTTTGAAGAAAGCAAAAAAAAACTTACAAATAAGCTTGACTTGATACTTCGCTTAATTAAAAGAAAAGGCTTACTTTTTTGATTGGTTGAATATTTAAGTATCACAAAATTAATTTTTGCTAAAATACGCAATGAAAATTTCCAAATTACATACAGAAATATTATTAATAATTTGATTCATTTGTGTAAAAAAAATATTTTAAAATTATAATAAAATCAATCAATTTAATAATAATAATTTATTATACAGAAGGCATTTTTGTCTGAAATTCAGATTGTTTTTTTATATATAATCAAAATTATAAATTTATATTTTGATTATAAACTTATAAATCAACAATTAATTAAATTATAATTTATTTGACATATTAAAATAAATTTTATTATAAATAAGCAAAAATTAGGCAGATGTAAAAGTCATTTTTATTCGCAAAAAAATAATTTCATTTTTTTAATAATAATTTCAAAATGCCTGCATAACTTTCAACAATTCTTTACATTTCTGAGTATAGAGAAAAAACATTGGGTGAATTTTTTATTGAAATGGCTATTGGACATACAAGACTTGAAGAAAATTCAGATGCTACTCAGACCTTTAATATTATAATATTTTACTTCTTGTTAAACTTAAACTGTTCGTCATTAAGTTAATAAAGATTATTTGCTAGCAGGGAGTTTA